CACAATTAAAAACATTTTATTTAGGCCTATCTATGGCCTTCAAAAAGTTGACAACTCTACATGTTTCGAGGATGACGTTGTAATATGACATTAGCTGTTATTAAATCTATAATATTACAATTCTTATTAAATTTTAATCTTTTTCTGTCAAGTTAATAGAAAAAATATGTAAAGTATTATTGCTTACATTAAAGAAAATATGTAAAAATGATTTTTTTTTACTTTTAACTATTAGGTTTTGAAATGCAATTATCTAAAACTTTTTCATTTGCTACTATTGCTAAGTTGAGAAAGAATACATAAAACAATTAGTATATATGTTGTACAAATCTAAATATATAAGAAGTTGATACAATAAAGTTAAAATGTACAGTTAATTGTTTGATTAGTGTACTATGCAAGAGGTCTTTATTCATAAAGATTTATTTTAAAGATAATTTTGTAAACAGTACTAAATTTTTAGTTTTCAGAATTTGTTCGATTTTTATCATTTTATCATGAATTAAAGTTTTTGGATTATTTAAGGTAGTTTGAAAACAATTGTTTCTTGAAAGCCAAAAATTTATTATCAAATGTAGCAGTTATTGGTAATTGTAAAGTTTGTACAACCAAATTGGTTGAAGTGTAGGAAAATGGGTAATATATAAAAGAATATTCAAATACCATGTTATCCACTGTGATTTCATTATATTTATGCCTAAGTGAATGTGTTTATTTCAATAATGATGATGATTGTTATCTGTTCTTTGTAATATTGTTATTTTTATTGTTTGTCAAAAGAATTTGATGTCAAAAATGTATTAATTTATTTATCTGCATCCAAAAGTATACTAAAAAGGTTAACAAGTTATAACAAATACTATGATTTGTGTTTATTTTAAACATTTTTTCTGATTTTTTGTTTTTCTAGAATTCTGTTTATCAAGCTACCAAAAAAAAAATGTTTGGAAAACAATTGAATATTTTAATGTTAATACTAGGTAATAACCTGTACTTTTGTAATAGTAATGAATTTTTTAAAATTAGAAACTTATAGTGATTTTTGTCTGCTTTTATCTGTCCAGAAATCAAAAAGCACATGTGCTGTAAAAACAGATTTTGAATCAAAAACAGATGAAACAGAAAATAACCCAAGAAGCTATCAGTTCATGTACATTCAGGTCAGTCTTTTTTTTACATTTTTATTAAAGCTGTCCTTAGGTTGCAAGTGAAAGTGTGCTGTCAGGTTTACTATTTTTAAAGTCAGTTGCCTTTATTTTTATGTTAAGGACTGTGTGTGAAGAAAGTGCTGATCTTTGTGCCTTTAAATTCATTATTTTTTATAATAATGAGGTATAGTACAAACTAGATGAAAAAATTATATATATATATAAAACATATTTACTCACATTAGATAGCAAATCCTGTATCATGATCAGCTGCAAATAATTTTGAAAGTAATTTAGAGACTGATTTGAACAAAAGGAGATACTAATAGTTGGATGGCACTAAAATAGCTGTAATGTTTGCTATGAAAGCACACAAAAGTGTGAATGTTTAAACAGAATCTAGACTCAGATGAAAAAAGGCAGATAATTTTCACAAGCTACTTCAGTAAAATTAAGCCTGTAAAAATGTTGTAACCAATTCATGTCCACTACAGCTCAGCATGTGTATGAACATTGCACTTGAACAGAAGAAAAGAATAGACTTTAAACTTAAAAAATCTCATATATTAATAATTTGTTAAAATTATAGATGATATATAACAGCATAATAATTCTTGAATGAAAATATATGTATTTTATATCTCAGTTTGATAGTGTTTTCAAGATAATTCCTGAATTTGAACAAAGCTTTTGGATTTCTAGGCTGGTGGCATATGTTAACCCATTAACTGCTGCAGGAGCAAATCAGTTGCCGTTTTCTGACTCACAGATAAAACTGAGTTGCCATCACTCACAATAAAACAGTAATTATTGTCATTCGCATAGAGTTATGGTTATATATGTGTGACTGACGGATATTTCCGTCATTTGCAGCTGAGCCATAGAACTTCAATGACGGAAATATCTGTCATTCGCAGTTAATGGGTTAATAATGCAAGTTTTGTTCTTATTTATAGAAATATAGTATGAGAAGCAGCATGTTCTTGTAATTTTTTCTGTTGTGTGATGCTGAGGAAATTGATAGAATTCATTAGCTAACATAGGTAGTAAATTTTAAATTTAAGTATGTCATTAGTGCATCATCATTATAAAACTGGCTCTTTGTAAGTAGGAATTATTTTTTTAAATTTAATCTACAAACAGATTACAATAATAATGATACAAGCCCAGCTGGATGCTCATAACAGTTTGTTTATAAAACAAACCATTGATGAAAAAGGTATTTAGTGTTAAGATAACTTGGCTAATTTTCTGAATAAGTGTTTGTTGATGTTTATAATAATTGTTACTGTTTGAGGTAAACCTTTAAAGCCTCAAGATCTATATGTATATAATGGCTGTGGTCATTGTGAATAGTAAAGGATGATGTTATGCTAACCTTATCGCCATGGGTATCCTTTACTGTGCATGACATAACGTTTTAGTGTCTTACATTCAAAATTTTATTAAACTACTTTTTCTTTATGTTATACCAATTAGAATAGCATAAAATCCTAGCTAAAAATCCATATTTTAATAGTATACAAGTTTTAAGTTCTTAATTCTACAAGGCAATATTTAAAAAAAATCTTGAATTTCCACTAGTGTGACCCACGTGACACATTTTCTCTTAGCATATCATCATCCCTATTTTATCTACCCCCCCAAAAAAAGTACGAAATTAGACGTAAATTGCTCTCTATAAAATTGCTATTGCTCAGGCAAACCACAATTTTTATAGTTTCAATTTTGTTTGGTTATAGAGCTATCATATACGAAATCAGCCCCTCCTGCCACACCCACCTGTCACATCTTCTCTTTCATAATTCGTTGATAGTTCTCTCTTATGTTTCATTATATATTAC